TTTGGAATGGATTGATGATTAAATGACATTAGGATATGTAATATATGTGTTACATGTTATTATAATTGTTATAAAATTACTGTATGTCGAATTCTAAGTATTATGGTTTTTACGGAATCGAAATCGGAGGTTTGGAAGTCCTTCTATGGTGAAAACGACAGAACTAATGGACGTCAGCTTTGTGACAGTTCACCTGTCGCGACCAGGATGATTTGGTTCAGATATGATTTTTATCATAACTTGAGTTTCGTGAATCTAATTGAGGCGCATTTTGAAACGTTGGAAAGTTAACGCGTAATACTAACTCATAGTAAGGACCTAAGAGATTAATAGTATACTTGATAATGTGATTAGAAGGTTTTACTTGTTGTATAACACTAATTAATGGTTAATGACGATGAAAACATTTTGTTTTGATTGTTGTGATTGATTGAATTAATGATTAATCCATGAGGAGGGATATTGATATTGATGTTGAGATGATTATTGATGATAAAGTATATAACCTTGATTTATATCTTGAGATAAAACACTATGATGAGCTTAATAATATTTGAGTTGTTTTACATAATTACATGTTATGAATTATAATTATGTGTATTAGTTGTGGATTGTTGGTAAAATCATGTGCTGATAAATATAATTATATGATGTTGATGTTACAGTGTGTAGTCCGAAGTGAGAACTACTGTGATTATCTTAATTGGTGTTGTGTACTGTTCGAAGTGGAAGCAGTAGTGTTGTTACATCTGTGTGTCATGCATCATGTGTCATGTTGAGAAGTGACGAGTTGTCTTGTTAATTGTTTTGTTGTAAAGAATATTTTGTGTTTGATGATTGTGTGAATATGCTACTCTTGCTATGTTTTTCGGCGCTAATATATTCTCACCCTGTGTTATATATACTCAGGTGGAGTAATAGCTGCTGTGAGTTGGAAGATGGCATTGAGGATTTTTTTTCATTTATTTATTATTTTCTATTATTTAGTTTTCGGTTGCTCTGATCTGTAACACTGAGAACAAGTAATTATCGTTGTTTGAGTTGAATGTTTTGGATTTGTTTAAATTCATTCAAGTACTTTATTTCGAAGTGATAATTTAAAGTATATGTTTATATTGAGTTTCGCTGCAAGTTTTTGGATTAACTTGAAAGAGTATGCATGTTGTGAATGTGTAGCATCTTTTTAAAAATAATATTGTTTATCTTTTGAAATTAAAGAGTCGGGATTTTTAGGGTGTTACAGTCACAAAATTCACTTATTCAGTCATATTCTACTTTTGACTAAGTTTAGAGTTTTGACAATCATAATAGACCCCAACAGACTTGAAAATAATTTGGTTGATTCACGTTCCACTGTGTATATACCCGCTGATCTCTAACTTTCGACATTGCACAAAATCTAATTTGTAAGAGTATCAAGAACAGATCCACAAGATTAGAATCACTCTCTCTTTAAAAAATGTTGAAAAAAATTTCACAAATCATTACATCGATGTGGAAATGTGTTTTAAAATAGTCAAGTTCGACGTGTTAATCAGAATTGGGGACTTAGCGTATTTTTGGATCCGAAGGTCAGATGAACTAAGGGTGCTTCGATAAACACTATGACAATCGGCTAGAGAATCTCGACAAAGGCAGTTAGTATGTTTAAAGGTAGTTATCAGTGTAAGTGATGGTTTGTAGGAGTTCAAACGTGAAGACACATGGAAGACATGCAGGGGCTATTAACCCACGTACTTGTGAAAATGTTGGGTGTTGAGAAAGTAATTGTTGTTGACAGTTATTTTTCACTTGTATATTAGTCGAGTTTTTGCACTGTGGTTACAGGTCACAAGTTTCATAAAGTTCTCCATAGAATCCAATATTCAAGTCTCAGTGATTCAGAGATTCAGTGAGAAATGTATGATTATACGTACCATTTTATGTTAATGCAAACACTTTATTTTAAGTTTGTTTTATTATCTTCTCTGCTTTAATTGCACTTTTATTACCTTTCACTATAAGGGTATTTTTGTTTCAAGGATTAAAATCATAATCCTAAGAATATTATTTCAAGGAACATTATTATTAGGAACTTTTTTTCCTACCTTTATATTTGGTAACTAATTTAAGTTTTCAGAAATATTTATAAAATATAATTTACTTAAAATTTTAAAAAAATAAAATAAAAGACTTAAATAAATAGATGTGGAAATTTATTGGTGGTTACTACTTATTTCCATATGAATAAAAGATTCTCATCTTATTACATGAGAATGAAAAATGAAAAACCAAGTGCAAAAAAAACTTCCAAAAATAAAAAGTTCCAAGGAATAATTTATAAATATTTGAAACAAACATGAGAATGCAAAAAATTTAAATCATATACTTGAAAATAAATTTAGAATCCATGAAACAAAAACCCCTTAAGCTTCATACTTTTCCGAGTATTTACATTTTCATCACGTTGGTTCTTGAGTTTTCAAATTTAATCTCTTAAATAAATCAAATTCGTAATTATTTACTAAAAATACCACTAAACACCTGCATTGTAACACCCCACTTCCCAAAATCAATTAAATTAATAAACATTATAAATAAACAAAAATCAGAGTTCCAATTCTCCCAAGTGGGATATCACATAAAAACAACGTTTCCTTATGAAAAGGTTTTTCTCCAAATACAGCGGAATATCAAATAATAACATCCAATAGAGGTTTGATACGTTCACAGGGAAATAAAATATAAGTTCAACATAAAACAAATAAAAACGCCCAAGTCCCGTGCTACGTATCAGAGAATCCTAGACTCGACAATCACACCAATATCCAAGCTAGCTAAGCACCTGGATTATCTGCACTTCCGAAGAAGCACAGGCCACAACAACAACAAAGGGGTGAGAAAACATGATCAAAAATATAATGGTAATGTAATACATGTAAATAAGGTAGTACAACACACCAACACACCAAGATTCACCCCTAACAACACCATATGACGAACCTACTGTTCAAATTACAATATAACATATTATAATGCAAAATGCAACTCAACACCATGCATGCGGTACCGACTCGTTGGTTCATTCAATCGAACCTGGATAGATCACTTACGCTCCTCCTGAGACATGATCTATCCCCCACCATTCTCCACAAAGGAGTATGGATGAATCACTTACGCTCCTCCTGAGACATGATTCATCCCACCAAAACACCATGATATGCACACACCAATGCATAACTAATATATTTAGGCACTCAACGTGCACACGATCCTCCTGATCATATCATCATACACCAATGCACATATGTACAGATATAACATACACCAACACCATATAAATCAACCAGATAGTAAACAAGTTCATACTTTAACACCAAGATATAACATATCCCACCACTTGGGGGTACGCGATCCTACTGATCACTACATACATATACATCAACTAATTGTCCACCAGTCATTATTACGGGAAACATGCACTATCACCAAGTACACAAGTTAGTTCCCACACTCATCATTCTTACAGTGCATCAAGGCCAAACTGTACCTATCATCTCAACTCAGATCCTCAGTCTATTCTAGTACCAATCTTGCACATTACCGTAACCAATAGGCTTCTAATTCCTATTCCCAAAATCATCACCTACACACTTTATCGATACCTCAAAAGCCATACAGAATTTTCCCTAAAAACTGTAAAACACCCTATATGCCCTATATGCCAAATCAACCCAAAACACCAATTCATTAACGATTACTATATAATTAACAACAATCATCATCAATCATAACATAACAATATATATTATCATATATCGATCAATTTCCTACGGGGTTAAGGAATCCCCAACTACCTTATACATGTATAAACCATTCCCAATCAAGTTTCTCCCCCCTTACCTTGTTAATCGATTGATCGATGAAAGAATCCTCCAAGGTTTGGCCAATTCTGATTTTCCCCTGTTCCTTCGTTCTTCGCTCCCTTTTCCGTTCCCTTTTCCGTTCTCTCCTTTCTATCGTTCTTTTTCCACTTTCTCAAACTTCTCACAATGTATCGTAAAACTACTAATCCCTCACGTTTCTATTTTAATTCTCTAATCCCAATAATAATAACTTAATAATAATAATAATAAAAATAATAATAATAATAATAATAATAGTAGTAATAATCCTATTATTATCTCACCAAAATAATAATAATGTTAATAACTTAATAAAATAATAATAATAATAGTAATAATAATCCTATTATTATCTCACCAAAATAATAATAATGTTAATAACTTAATAAAATAATAATAATAATAATAATAATAGTAATAATAATCCTATTATTATCTCACCAAAATAATAATAATGTTAATAACAATAGTAACTATAATAAATATAATAATAATAATAATATTCCCACCAATATCAATATTATACACTATATTATTATATTCACCAAAACACCACCAATAATCCTCCCACATTAGGGACACCCACCAAACATCACCAAATACACCCCCACCAAAGGGCACACCAACACATAATATTTAAAATAATAATAAAATGACTAAATAATTAAAATGGGTGTTACATGCATGACCTCACTTTGATTATATACTATGTATCGACTCACTCAAAAAATATCTTATTTCCAATTTTGCCTTTAATTCTAATTATTATTTTGGTTTAAACATAAACATTTAAATAAAAGAGAACAATTCAATAGAAGGCATACAAGATAAAAGAAAAGACCAAATTCTTTTTATAAGCATAAGTACTACAAGGAATACAAAGTGCATTCAAGTCCTTAATCTTATTCAAGCAAACCAAAGCCACAAGATCGATTACATTTGAAAGAAAAACAAGAAACTAGAAGAAACACACATTAAAAACACATATCCATTGTTTTATTTATCTCACACCATGGATAGAGAAGCTGCAACATAGTATGATGCATGTCCATGACATTCATTCCGTTCAAGTCATAGTACGATGCATGTCCATGACATTCATTCCGTTCAAGTCATCTAGAGAGCAGAAGTAACAACTTCAATAAATGGCCGTCCTCGTTTTCCCATCGATTTTCTTTTCAAACACAACTGTCTCTCATTGTACAGAATTTCAGCCAACCTTCAAAACAAAAAATATCTCAATGAAAGAAGTACACATCACAAGCTTTCATCACCTAAACATTCTGCAACAAATACACTATAAGAGTTTGAATATTAAAAATGCACAAACCTTTCGAGAGCTTCAGCATTTGTACCCTCACTTGGTTTCTCGTATGGAAGAAAAGAAGTTACATCCATAACCTTAACAGACTCTTTGAGCAAATCCTCTCCTACCTTTAGAAGCTTCTCCATGTTTTCTTTTATAGCATTATCGGCAGTTATGGATGGATCCAAATTATACTCCTGCGCATAATTATAAAGAATCCAATCTTTCAAATTTCCAATTTTATAAAAGAAAAAAAAACTTCTGCTTAGACACAAAAACCCTAAACCGTAAATTCTACAATGTACCTCAACTCGAAGGTAATAATTGTCTGAAGAAGATGAATTACTTGGAAACACTGATTCAAGATGATATTCATTCACTTGCCCAGAAGACATAGCAAGACCTACAGCTATTCGAGGTACCCATTCAAAAAAGGACAGTGTTATTTTGTGCTTTTATTTGTTCGATTTTCAGTCTTATATTTGTTGTTGATTCTCAAGGTTCCTATAATTTTTGGAGAATTTTATATATGTTGTGTATTGGTCTATTATTGTGTCTTAATTTCCCATCAGAGTTGCATCAGAGCTCTTGGTTAAGAGTTATTTTACTTGTTTGAATGATGGAGTCAAATACAAAGATGAATATGGTATTGTTGAATGGTTCTAATTATCATATATGGAAGGCAAGATGAAAGACTTACTATTTGTGAAGAAATTGCTTTTATCGGTTTTTAGTTCTGCAAAACCGGATTCTGTGTCTGATGAAGAATGAAAGTTTAAACATCGACATGTATATGGTTTTATTCGACAATATATAGAAGATAATGTTTATAATCATATTGCTAATGAGACACATGCAAAAACTTTATGGGAGAAGATAGAGTCCTTGTATGCCTCTAAATCAGGGAATAATAAATTGTTCTTGTTGAATAGCTTCATAAGTTTGAAGTATAAAGAGGGAACTTGTATTTCAGATCACTTGAGTGAATTTCAAGGCCTCATTGATCAGATGTCGGAAATGAGTATCAAATTTGATGATAAACTTTTAGGACTATTTCTATTGCTATCTTTACCCGAGTCTTGAGAGACATTTAGGATTTCTATCACAAGTTCTGCTCCTAGAGGTGTTGTTTATTTGGAAACGCCTAAGGGTGGTATTCTTAATGAGAAGATGAGAAGGAAGACACATGGTTCTTCATCTCAACCCGAGGTACTTGTCACTGAAAATAGAGGGAGAAGTCACAAAAAGGAACCGAAGGGTGGTAGAGAGAATAACAGAATTAAGTCCAAGCCGTCATTCAAGAATCTGAAGTGCCATTACTGTCACAAAACAAGACACATACAGAACTATTGCTATCAGTGGAAAATAGATAACAAAGGCAAGAAGGATAAGTCTAAACAAAGAGACCATGGAGATCATGATGAAGATCGTGTTACTACTGCTACTAGTGATGATTTTTTTATTCTCAGCGATCATGAGTCTGTTAATCTTGTATCAAAGGAGAGAATGTGGATAGTTGATAGTGGTTCTACATTGCATGTTACACCAAGGAAGGATTTGTTGACATCATGTACTTCTGGTGATTTTGGAGTGTTGAAGATGGGTAATGATGGTGTATCTAAGGTAATTGGTTTTGGTGATGTTTGCTTGAAAACCAACATGGGAATACAATTGTTTCTTAGAGGTGTTAAACATGCTCCAGATGTCCGCTTTAATTTGATCTCTGTGCATATGCTAGATGATTGTGGCTATGATAATTATTTTGGTTCTGGAAGGTGGAAACTCAACAAAGGTAACTTGGTTGTGGCTAGAGGGAAAAATCTTTCTAAATTATATTGGACAAAAGCTTTGGTTGCTAGGGGTAGTGTGAATGCTATCGACATGAAAGCATCTTTGTGGCACCCAAGACTTAGTCATATTAGTGAAAAGGGGCTGAATGTTTTGGCCAAAAAGGATGTTCTTCCTGGATTAAAGAATGTAGATTTGGAGAAGTGTTCTCATTGCATGGCTTGTAAACAGAATAAAGTATCTTTCAAGAGACATCCTCCCTCAAGGAAGTCAAAGTTGCTTCAATTGGTACATTCTGGTGTTTGTGGTCCATTAACGGTAAAACCCTTAAGTGGTGAACTTAATTTTTTTTACCTTTATTGATGATTGCTCCAGGAAACTATAGGTTTATGCCTTGAAGATAGAAGACCATGTTTTGGAAAAGTTTAAAGAATTCCATGCTTTGGTCGAGAGGCAGACAGACAAGAAGTTGAAGTGTATTCGTTCAGACAATAGTGGAGAGTATTGTGGACCATTTGATTCCTATTGCAAGCAACATGGTATTGCACATGAAAATACTCCTCTCAGAACTCCTGAATTAAATGGTTTAGCAGAGAGGATGAATCGAATACTAATTAAGAAAGTAAGGTGTATGCCTTCTGAAGCTAAGTTTCCTAATCATTACTGGGGCAAGGCAGTATACACGTGGAAAAAATGAAAAAAGGGCAAGAAGTGAGAAACCTGAAGGGAGCTCTAGGAAGAGGAAAGCATAGCCAAGACCATGGATTTGCTACTGGAAATTAAGGTAAAGGCGGAGTTACTATAATATTGGTGTCGAATGCATGAAGGGTAGAGAGGGATCCTTTCCCTCCTCTAGGGTTTCTCATCTTTTTCACCATTGTTGAAGCTTATGAGTTTTTGGAAAAAGTTGTGCGAAATCTCTGATAATTGTTATGATTCTTATGAAATTTGTGCCCTGTTTTATTGATGAATTTTGTGTATGATCTATACGTGCAAATATGAGTTTGAATCTTTATGTTCATGGGATTTTGGATCGATAAACATGTTTTTAGATTTGGAATGGATTGATGACTAAATGACATTAGGATATGTAATATATGTGTTACATGTTATTATAATTGTTATAAAATTACTGTATGTCAAATTCTGAGTGTTATGGTTTTTACGGAATCGAAATCGGAGGTTTGGAAGTCCTTCTATGGTGAAAACGACAGAACTAATGGACGTCAGCTTTGTGACAGTTCACCTGTCGCGACCAGGATGATTTGGTTCAGATATGATTTTTATCATAACTTGAGTTTCGTGACTCTAATTGAGGCGCGTTTTGAAACGTTGGAAAGTTAACGCGTAATACTAACTCATAGTAAGGACCTAAGAGATTAATAGTATACTTGATAATGTGATTAGAAGGTTTTACTTGTTGTATAACACTAATTAATGGTTAATGACGATGAAAACATTTTGTTTTGATTGTTGTGATTGATTGAATTAATGATTAATCCATGAGGAGGGATATTGATATTGATGTTGAGATGATTATTGATGATAAAGTATATAACCTTGATTTATATCTTGAGATAAAACACTATGATGAGCTTAATAATATTTGAGATGTTTTACATAATTACATGTTATGAATTATAATTATGTGTATTAGTTGTGGATTGTTGGTAAAATCATGTGCTAATAAATATAATTATATGATGTTGATGTTACAGTGTGTAGTCCGGAGTGAGAACTACTGTGATTATCTTAATTGGTGTTGTGTACTGTTCGAAGTGGAAGCAGTAGTGTTGTTACATCTGTGTGTCATACATCATGTGTCATGTTGAGAAGTGACGAGTTGTCTTGTTAATTGTTTTATTGTAAAGAATATTTTGTGTTTGATGATTGTGTGAATATGCTACTCTTTCTATGTTTTTCGGCGCTAATATATTCTCACCCTGTGTTATATATACTCAGGTGGAGTAATAGCTGCTGTGAGTTGGAAGATGGCATTGAGGATTTTTTTCATTTATTTATTATTTTCTATTATTTAGTTTTCGGTTGCTCTGATCTGTAACACTGGGAATAAGTAATTATCGTTGTTTGAGTTGAATGTTTTGGATTTGTTTAAATTCATTCAAGTACTTTATTTCGAAGTGATAATTTAAAGTATATGTTTATATTGAGTTTCGCTGCAAGTTTTTGGATTAACTTGAAAGAGTATGCATGTTGTGAATGTGTAGCATCTTTTTAAAAATAATATTGTTTATCTTTTGAAATTAAAGAGTCGGGATTTTTAGGGTGTTACAGCCACAAAATTCACTTATTCAGTCATATTCTACTTTTGACTAAGTTTAGAGTTTTGACAATCATAATAGACCCCAACAGACTTGAAAATAATTTGGTTGATTCACGTTCCACTGTGTATATACCCGCTGATCTCTAACTTTCGACATTGCACAAAATCTGATTTGTAAGAGTATCAAGAACAGATCCACAAGATTAGAATCACTCTCTCTTTAAAAAATGTTGAAAAAGATTTCACAAATCATTACATCGATGTGGAAATGTGTTGTAAAATAGTCAAGTTCGACGTGTAAATCAGAATTGGGGACTTAGCGTATTTTTGGATCCGAAGGTCAAATGAACTAAGGGTGCTTCGATAAACACTATGACAATCGGCTGGAGAATCTCGACAAAGGCAGTTAGTATGTTTAAAGGTAGTTATTAGTGTAAGTGATGGTTTGTAGGAGTTCAAACGTGAAGACACATGGAAGACATGCAGGGGCTATTAACCCACGTACTTGTGAAAATGTTGGGTGTCGAGAAAGTAATTGTATTGACAGTTATTTTTCACTTGTATATTAGTCGAGTTTTTGCACTGTAGTTACGGGTCACAAGTTTCATAAAGTTCTCCATAGAATCCAATATTCAAGTCTCAGTGATTCAGAGATTCAGTGAGAAATGTATGATTATACATACCATTTTATGTTAATACAAACACTTTACTTTAAGTTTGTTTTATTATCTTCTCTGCTTTAATTGCACTTTTATTACCTTTCACTATAAGGGTATTTTTGTTTCAAGGATTAAAATCATAATCCTAAGAATATTATTTCAAGGAACATTATTATTAGGAACTTTTTTTCCTACCTTTATGTTTGGTAACTAATTTAAGTTTTCAGAAATATTTATAAAATATAATTTACTTAAAATTTTAAAATAAAAAATAAAAGACTTAAATAAATAGATGTGGAAAGTTATTGGTGGTTACTAATTATTTCCATATGAATAAAAGATTCTCATCTTATTACATGAGAATGAAAAATGAAAAACCAAGTGCAAAAAAAACTCCCAAAAATAAAAAGTTCCAAGGAATAATTTATAAATATTTGAAACAAACATGAGAATGCAAAAAATTTAAATCATATACCTGGAAATAAATTTAGAATCCATGAAACAAACACCCCTTAAGCTTCATACTTTTCCGAGTATTTACATTTTCATCACGTTGGTTCTTGAGTTTTCAAATTTAATCTCTTAAATAAATCAAATTCGTAATTATTTACTAAAAATACCACTAAACACCTGCATGACCTCACTTTGATTATATACTATGTATCGACCCACTCAAAAAATATCTGATTTCCAATTTTGCCTTTAATTCTAATTATTATTTTGGTTTAAACATAAACATTTAAAAAAAAAAAGAGAACAATTCAATAGAAGGCATACAAGATAAAAGAAAAGACCAAATTCTTTTTATAAGCATAAGTACTACAAGGAATACAAAGTGCATTCAAGTCCTTAATCTTATTCAAGCAAACCAAAGCCACAAGATCGATTACATTTGAAAGAAAAACAAGAAACCAGAAGAAACATACATTAAAAACACATATCCATTGTTTTATTTATCTCACACCATGGATAGAGAAGTTGCAACATAGTACGATGCATGTCCATGACATTCATTCCGTTCAAGTCATAGTACGATGCATGTCCATGACATTCATTCCGTTCAAGTCATCTAGAGAGCAGAAGTAACAGCTTCAATAAATGGTCGTCCTCGTTTTTCCATCGATTTTCTTTTCAAACGCATCTGCCTCTCATTGTACAGAATTTCAGCCAACCTTCAAAACAAAAAATATCTCAATGAAAGAAGTACACATCACAAGCTTTCAACACCTAAACATTCTGCAACAAATACACTATAAGGGTTTGAATATTAAAAATGCACAAACCTTTCCAGAGCTTCAGCATTTGTACCCTCACTTGATTTCTCGTATGGAAGAAAAGAAGTTACATCCATAACCTTAACAGACTCTTTGAGCAAATCCTCTCCTGCCTTTACAAGCTTTTCCATGTTTTCTTTTGTAGCATTATCGGCATTTATGGATGGATCCAAATTATACTCCTGCGCATAATTATAAAGAATCCAATCTTTCAAATTTCCAATTTTATAAAAGAAAAAAAAACTTCTGCTTAGACACAAAAACCCTAAACCGTAAATTCTACAATGTACCTCAACTCGAAGGTAATAATTGTCTGAAGAAGATGAATTACTTGGAAACACTGATTCAAGATGATATTCATTCACTTGTCCAGAAGAAATAGCAAGACCTACAGCTATTCGAGGTACCCATTCAAAAAAGGAAAAGTGCTTTGCAAAAGAAGCATTAGTCCTTAGAGTGTCTGGAATTCGACTACGTCCTGTTCCTAGTGACAGCAACACGATTTTGATAGGCTCGTTTGCTTTTATTGGAATGAAATCAGAATTCTTCTTATTCAATTCTTGTATCACTTCACTTACGGCAAGCAAGGCCTGAATATACGCATGTTTATCATGTCATAATCAGCTTCATCGATTGTGTACCCATTGATGAACATGAATATAGAAACATAAGTTTCAAAAAAATTAAAGATAAAGTATTAGAATTTACCGGACTACCTGCAGTGGCTGCCCCATCAACTAGATTGAAATCATGATCACCATTCTTAAACTCATAGGGTGGTAGTAGACCTGGTGCAGCTGAAGTCCCAAGACCGATATCAGACAATTTTGCGTCTAGGAATGGAAAGGTCTTTATCTGCATGCATAAACAAAGTTTTACAGATAAAACGGGAGCAACTGCGACAACATCTATGACCGCAATCGCAAATTAATCGTAAGATATTTAAGTATGTTTACAAAAATATGCTGCTGCTGAGTGCTGACCTTAAAGCTTGAGAATATAACTGGGTGTAATTCATATGTATCAAAGGCTGGAACTACAACATTGGTTAATTCATATGGGTCTGATGTTTACATCCATGGTGTCAAGCAGGAGCTTTTACCTGATATGCCTGTTGACATTGATAATATTGCTGGATCTAGCAAGATCACTCGTAGTGGAAGAGTCTTCTCTCCTCCAGTTGCTTCTAAGAGTGCAGTTACCCCTGCTGTTACTTCCACCACTGATGCTCGGGGCAAGGGTCCTGTTATTGAGCCTGTATCTACTGATGTGCCAGCTGCTGATGACCTCTCTAAGCAGATGGAAGAAGTATTGAGAATCATTCGCAAGAGTGATTATGATATTGTTGATCAGCTGGGGCATACTCCCTCAAAGATTTCTATGCTCTCCCTGTTACTATGTTTTGAGGCTCATGCCAAGTCATTGATCAAGTTTCTAAAGATGGCTCATGTACCCAGTGCAATTTCTGTGGACCAGTTTGAGAATTGTGTTGCTCACCTGACCTATGACAACGGGTTAGGATTTTCTGATGCTGACTTGACCCCTGCCAAGAGGGATCATAACAGGGCCTTGCATATTTCAATTGAATGCAGGGGCACTACCCTGTCTCATGTACTGATAGACAATGGTTCCTCTCTGAATGTGTTGCCTAAGGAAGTCCTGAACAAGTTGAGTCCTGAAGATACGGTATTGAAGCCCAGTAATATTGTGGTAAAGGCTTTTGATGGTTCTAGAAGAGTAGTGCATGGGGAAATTGATCTTCCAATCAAGGTTGGCTCTCAGGTGTTTACCGCTACATTCTATGTGATGGATATTCGTCCTTCGTACTCATGTCTGCTTGGTCGTCCCTGGATCCATGGGGCAGGTGCTGTGACCTCCACATTACATCAAAAGTTGAGATATCCGATGAATGGAAAAGTTGTTACTGTCTTTGGAGAGGAAGAATACTTTGTCAGCCATGTAAACACTTTCAAGTATCTGGAAGTAGAAGGTGAATACATTGAAACTCCATGTCAGTCATTTGAAGTGGTTCCCTGGGCTGTTAAGGATTGTGTGACTCCTCCTGCTGTGAAGAAGGTTCCTGTGGTCATCAGAAACCCTCCAACAATGGCAATGGCCTCCCTCAATGATGCAAAAGCTGTGATGGAAGAAGGTGGTTGTACTATTTGGGGTCAGCTTCCTGATATTCCATACAAGTCTGACAAGTTTGGTTTGGGTTTCACTGCAGAGTCCCAGAAGGCTGTTCGTCGTGCTCGTGCTGTTCGTATCACCAATCAAGGGGTTATCAATGCTGTGGGAGATCAAGATGAAGACTACAACTTGGAGGCATGGATTTTTCCTACTGTGGGTGCTGGACTCAATAATTGGAAAGCTGAAGATGTTATCCCTATCTCCTTTAGTCAGGAGTAAATACTATTACTGTGTTATGTTTTTAAATTTGTAATTTTCTGGAACAATTAAAACTTTCAAGCCATGTGCCTTACCCGGGGCACAATGGTGTGCTTGTTACGGGTTGTCATTTGATTTGCATACTTCATTCAATAAAATCAGTGGACGTTTCGTTTTCGTAAATATTGTGTTCCTTGTCTTTCTTTTTCTTTTATCTTTGCTTTATCAGCTATGTGTTCTTACACACACCCACGTCACTAAAATGCAGATCCTCATCCACTCTGGATCCAGTTGATAACAGTTCTACTATTGCCAATTACAATTTCGAGAATCCGATCTATCAAACTGAAGACGGAAACGAGGACGATTGTGAAATACCTGTAGAGCTTGCTAGGTTGTTACAACAAGAAGAGAAAGCTATACAGCCACATGAAGAGCCAGTCGAAGTTGTGAATCTGGGAACTGAAGAAAACAGAAAAGAGGTCAAAGATAGGAAGTTCCTGAGAAGGTTTTCTGCTAAGTTCTCTCTGAGTAATGGCATTCTGTATAAGCGTAATCATGATTCAACTATGCTTCGTTGTGTGGATAAGAAGGAAGCTACAGAAATTATGGAAGAGATGCATGATGGGACCTTTGGCACTCATTCTAGTGGTCATACCATGGCAAAGAAGATTTTGAGAGCAGGTTACTATTGGTCTACCATGGAAGCTGATTGCTATCAACACTCCAGAACATGTCACAAATGTCAAATCTATGCTGATAAAGTACATGTACCTCCATCTCCATTGAATGTGTTGACTGCTCCTTGGCCCTTTGCCATGTGGGGCATTGATATGATTGGTGAGATCAAGCCTACTGCTTCTAATGGGCATCGTTTCATCCTGGTTGCTATTGATTACTTCACGAAGTGGGTAGAGGCAGCTTCATTTGCATCTGTGACTAAGAATGTTGTGGCTCGGTTCATTAAGAATAATCTCATATGTAGGTATGGTATCCCTGAAAGGATTATCACTGACAATGGCTCTAATCTGAACAACACTATGATTACTGATCTCTGTACGCAGTTCAAGATTAAGCATCACAACTCTTCTCCGTATCGTCCAAAGATGAATGGGGCAGTTGAAGCTGCTAATAAGAACATTAAGAAGATTGTACAGAAGATGACTGTTACTTACAAGGATTGGCACGAGATGTTACCATTTGCTCTGCATGGCTATCGTACTACAATACGTACTTCAACAGGGGCAACCCCATTCTCCTTAGTCTATGGTATGGAAGCAGTTCTGCCTATCGAAGTTCAGATCCCCTCCTTGAGAATTATGAGGGATGCAGGCTTGGATGAAGATGAGTGGATTCAGACTCGACTCGACCAGATAAATTTGATTGATGAGAAAAGGTTAGCAGCAGTTTGTCATGGCCAGATGTACCAGAAACGGATGATCAAAGCTTTTAACAAGAAGGTTAAGCCAAAGGTATATCAGGCTGGTGACTTGGTAATCAAGCGTATCATATTACCACAGGGTGATCCTAGGGGCAAGTGGACTCCAACATATGAGGGACCATTTGTAGTCAAGACAGTGTTCTCAGGAGGTGCCATGATACTGACTACAATGGATGGTGAAGACTTCCCACAACCTGTAAACGCAGACATAGTTAAAAAATACTACGCATAAAAAGAGACCCGCTAGGTTGACAGGCCTAGGCAAAAATAAGGGCATCCCGGCAAACCAAAAGGGTTTGGGCAAAAATTAGGGATATATATATAAAAAGATGTACACCCGGCAAGTCGAAAACCTGAAAAGGCGGCTTGGGCAAAAAAAGGGTATCCCGGTGGATTGAAAACCTGAAAGGGCAATCCAGGCAAAAGTTAGGGATTAAAGCGTATGACTATGTCTCGTTTGGATCACTCATGAAACTGCAACCAGTTGTACTACTTACTCAAGCTCAAACAGATAAAGCTCAATCCAATCGTTTCCGTCTCAACAGCAAGAAGATGAGATACTTGAGTGGCAATAGTAGAATTGAAACTCAATAGGATTATTTCCCACATAGCTGATTCTTTTTGTAAAACTTCATGACAAAATTCTCTTACTAGGGTTTATGTCTCCTTGTACAAACTTACCCGTGTATGGGTCACTTTTGATATAAATAAATTCCATCTTTTGAATCCAGATTCACTTTTACCCTATTTACATAAGCGAAACGTCCATTGGTTGTGTTTGAATGTATGTATGCCTTTGAATATGATTGATGTTTACCAGAAACGCATGTATGCTTTTAATATGATTGATGTTTACCAGAAATGCATGAAAATGCAGTAATAGTATTTACTAAGGACGAACGAGGGAAGGATTTCAACGAAGCTTCGCCGGTTCATCTTTACAAGACAGTTACAAACCATCAGTAGGACTAATCCATTTTCACAAAGTCTAATCTCCCCTGGAATTTATATCCATCTCTTTTATCCTCATACGGATATACGGGAAATTACTTTCCAATAAGGGCACGATGAACGAAGACGGGATGTTATACTTATCCTACTATCAAACGAAAACGAAGGTTATCTATACCCTACTATCCCCAACAACGGGAGGTTATCTATACCTTGTTATCCCCAACAGCGGGAGGTTATCTATACCTTGTTATCCCCAGCAGACGGAGGGTTATATATTCTTCAACAACGAATCGGGATTTATTTTTCTTGGCCAGCAGTGGTTATACAAGGATATCCAGACACTTCCAGCAGTGTCATAGCATACATACATCATTTACATCATACCATAACATATATGTCTATAGTACATTACCTAAGTGCATCATGTCATACATGCATACATAAAGCATAAACTAATGTTGTTATACAGAGTGCTACCTTGTTTTCAGGTTAATTATCCAACAAACAAGCTTATGATCTTTGGGACTGCTTTATTGTAACCTCAGGGTTACTTTATCCTTCTGATGAGCTTCTTATTACTTTGGACTGCTTTATTGTAACCTCAGGGTTATTTTATCCTCCTGATAGCCTCTCATGACTTCAAGACTGCTTTAGAGCTACTGATCGCTCTATCCTCCTGAAATCATCCTATTACTTCAAGACTGCTTTAGAGCTATTCATTGCTCTATCCTCATGAGGTCATATTACTACTTCAAGACTGCTTTAGAGCTATTCATTGCTCTATCCTCCTGAAGCCATCTAATTATTTCAAGACTGCTTTAGAGTTATCCATTGCTCTATCCTCCTGAAATTACATTATTATTTCAAGACTGCTTTAGAGCTATCCATTGCTCTATCCTCCTGAAATCATTACTTCAAGACTGCTTTAGAGCTATTGATTGCTCTATCCTCCTGAAGACATATCACATTATTATTTCAAGACTGCTTTAGAGCTGTTGATTGCTCTATCCTCCTGAAGCCATTCTATTACTTCAAGACTGCTTTAGAGCTATTGATTGCTCTATCCTCCTGAAGCCAT